ACTCAGAGCACCTGCCAGGGGAGGGCAGGTGGAGAAGCTGAGAAGAGCTGGCCCTGCCCTTGGCTGGCCCTGACATTGGCTGGCCTCCTTCATCAAACACAGAGCACCCACCCCCTTTGGGTGCACAGCTTCCGGTAAAAGGGAGTGAGAGGACACCAGGGAGAGGATGTGTGGATGGAAATTCCAACTTTAAACACTCCCTGGCTCCTGGAGAGCATGTGGCAGGGGGCCCATTTCTTGTGGCAGGGAAAACCCACCTGTGTCCTACTGGGGCAGAGTGGAACCTTCCTGGAGGGACCAGAGCTGGAGGTGGGATTGGAGCTGACATGTCTGTGAATAAATAAAATGTGAGGCTGATGAAGGGCCAGATTAGAGAGTGCAGAGATTAGTCTCTGCAAACTCCTGCATTCACAGAGTCTGTGCATGCTAAGGCTGACCGGGCGCCAGACTCCAGAGGGACTTGGAGTCCTGGGAACAGGTGCTGATTCTCTCCTGGACTCTTACGGGAAGCTGGCCCAGGTGGCAGGCTCCCCGGGGAGTCCCCTCTACGGAGCAGGCGGGCCTGGGTGCTACTGCACTTCCCAACCTTTGCCCCTTCCTCAGAATAGTTCAGAGAAATATCTTAGTTCCGAATGCCCCAGGATTGTTTTACAGCTGGGGGCTAATACTCCTGTAGGCAGTTCCTAAAAAAAAGAGAGACTTTACACCCTCAGCATAGAACCCTCGCTCCCAGAAACCCTTGGGAAAGTCCTTGAGTCCAGGCCTTGGATGATGGGTCTTCACTTCAGGTCATAGACTCCTGTCCTGCTGGGACTGGGGGTCTGCAAGGGCCCACTAGCTGTTTCTACTCTTGGGAGGGTAGGGTCCACTTGGAGTGCTTGCTGGTCACTTTGCCCTTCTGGGCCATCCTTGTCCTTCAGACCCTCTCATGTATTCCCTCCATGGGAGCCAGGGAAATTCAGCAGGTGCAGGGAGGAAAGCGTGGTGGAGGGGGCTGGGGGCCCACCGGAAAGAGCAGGACAGGAGGCAGGGGCTCCTGGTCCAAACCCAGAGCATGCGAAATGAACCCCAGGCAGTAACAAACCGCAGGGCTTCCCCCAGAGCCCTGGAATATGGTTCAGGGCAGACACCCAGTGACTGACAGCTGGACCTCCAAGAAATCCACCATTAGGCAGGGGGTCTAGACAGAAGTCACACAGCCAGGGTGGGCCAAGAACTGAGGGCACTATTAGTGAGAGAAAGCCTGGCCTGGTCCAAGGTCCAAAGTCACCCTGGTAGGGGTGGCAGCAGACTCGGGACTCCCCAAGAAAGCATGTGTCCAGGGCTCCAGGCTGGTCCAGAGGAAACCCCCCACCCTGACCAGGGCAGACACCATCCACGGCACGAGGACCCTCCACCTTGTTCTTCACCCAGCCCTGAGCTCTGGACAGGTCCCGGGCCCGAGTGGCCCCCTTCCTCCCTGAATTTCCTAAAGATGCACTCACAGGCCCAGATGCACACGTGTGGGGAGCTGGCAGACATGAGGTCTCAGCCATTTGCAGGCACGGCCGTCACACCTGCTCCTCACCTTGCCAAGTGGCAGGACCTAGTCCTGGGCCCCCGAGACAGTGCTGTGATCCTACTCTCCACTGCTGTCTGTACCCAGCTACTAAGTAGAGAAGTTGCCTTAAAACATGCACACAAATATATGGCCTGTGTCTCAGGGTCCCCAAGACCTTATTTCCCCAACAAAGTTACAAAGGGCTGGAAGAGATCTGACCCCTGCCACACGTCCGGCTAAGAACTTAGAACCATGTGTGAGATGCTCACCAAATGTTTGGAAATCACTATCAGTCCAACTCTTCTGTTCTGTAACTAGAGACTCAAATAGTCTGGCTGATCCCTGACCATTTTAAATGATGAAAGGGGCCAAGGAGCTTAACAAGTGTGAACCCTGGACTGCAGGGTGGAAGGAAGTGTACCATGGTCCAAACACGTCCCTCATCTGTGCACAGGCTGGACCCTTGGCCACATGGCCTCCAGGCCCAGTGAGGTCACGGTTTGGGCATGAGTGCTCTTAGAGGTTTCAGTATAGGAGCCGGGGCTGGCTTCATAGGGTAGGAGTCATCTGAGGGGGCCTGGTCCGTGAGCCAGGACCTAAGTGTAAGTCAGAGTTCTCAGAGGCCAGGGGAAACTGCATGCAGAGGGCTGGGCAAGGAGGTGGGCTGGACTGTGGGGAGCTGCTGGCTTAGTCCAGCAGAAGCCAGGTCAGAGCTCTGCTTTTCACTGCAGAGAGCACAGTGGATTCTGAGGGGGCGGCACATGAGCCTTGGAGGGTCCAGAGCATAGAGGGATCCAGACTGGAGTGAGTCTGGACCACTGGGACGGGGTGACTGGCTCGAGGTGATTCCTGGTTTATGGGGCTAAGTGTGAGCAGTGGATCCAGCTTGTTTGCTAAGCTTTGGCTTTGAGGCTGGGGGCCTGGAGAGTGGTGGGAGATGTCTGTGCAGAGATGCCTAATGACCAGCCACACTTTCAGGGAACCCCAGACACCTGGTACCTGGAGGTGCTGGGTGTAGGGTGGTACATGGAGGGTGGACTCAGGAGAGGCCTCAGGCCCAGGCCCAGGCCCAGGCCCAGGCCTAGGAGCAGGGCCCCAAGGTGGATGAGCAAGGAGCAGCCTCAAATGATGGGGACAGGACAAGGCAGTAAGGGGGGACCCCAGAGGGCTGGGAAAAGAGGAGGGGTCACGTGAGGCTCAGGCTCTGCCATGAAGGCAAGACTTGGGCAGGGTCAGTGCAGGGGATTCCCGGGGACAGGATGATGGGGGAGCACAAGGAGGGACAGGGAGCGAGCAAGGCTGGGAGAGGGGTGGGCATGGGTAGAGTCCCAGCTTACTTTTTAAGATGGGGAGACTGAGTGTCCTGCAGTACTGCCTATTCACGGGGGAGGCCCTGGTGCCGTCATAGCGGGAGCCTCCAAATACAGAACTATGTGGGTTTAGGATGAGGCAAGGCCTGGCCTAAGGCCAAAGGGCACTCCAGGAGACCTTGGCCAGCCCCTGGATCTTCATTGTCCCCAGAGCCCCCACCCCCAGCTTCCTAGGATTACAACATATGGGGTGTGGTGATGTTAAGGTGAGCCTTTTTAAATGGTGAGAGCTGGCAGGAAAGCACATTCTGCCCTGCCCATGAGACAGAGCTGGAGCTGCCGGAGCGGGCGACCCCCACCCTGGAGAAGGCCCTCTTTGGACAGTTCAAGTCCTCAGAGACCTGCAGGACGTGGCTCTTCCTGGGTGAGTAACAAAATCTGGGCCAGGCAAACACTTGGGGCAGTGCTAACCTCCCAGTGCTCCCACCCCCACTCAAGGCTGACTGGCCGGTGCCCCCGATGGCTGTCACTAAACTTTCACGCGCCAGCCTCCACACCTGTGCAGACACCGGAAAGTGCACGTTTGATTACACAACAGAGATGCTGCCCCTCCCAGACTGTTTTGGGCCCACCCTGCGCGTGTCATCATCCTTATGGTCGTTACATAAAGGAGGGAGGCGGGCAGAGGCACGGACCCCCTCGCCCTGCCACTCTGCCCCAGAAAGAGATCAGTTCTTGGGTGAGCAGTGTCAATGGCAAGGCAAGGTGTGCCCAGAGCCCCAGGCTGAGGCTGGACCTGCCCAGTAAACGTCACATTGGACGTGGCCAGTGTCAGCAGTCTCCCTGCAGCAGAGGCGTCTGGCAGAGACACAGCACAGGAGACCTCCACTTGGTGCTCACGATTCACTCCTGACATCACCACTGCCACGGGAAAGCCCTCTGGGGGACAAAGTAAGAACGGTGACCACCCAGGCAGGGCAAGGGGCGACAGGCAAGCCAGGGAAAAGGAGGGAGGAGGCAGAGGGAGCCCAAAAGAGAAAGGAGGAATGGGCAGGGCTTCGGGGAGGCCGTTGGCACAAAGTGGAGTAAAAGGAAAACAACCTGCAACCAGCAGGCAGGTACCCCCAGCCTCAGGTCCAAAGTCCCCTAAGGTCTGGCCCCAAATCTGCCCTTCTCGTCCTGCAGAGATGAGGATGGCAGTGCCCCCCCCAAACCCCAGAAGGGGCCCTCCTCTCTCTGCCCTGCCCTTCCCCATTCCAAAACCATTGGTGACCCGTCCTAACCATTCACCCCAGTCTTGAGGGGGGCTGGTCCTCGGACCTCCTTCTCAGTGGGCCCTCCCTCTCAGCGGGCCCTCCCTCATGCTCCCCCTAGTAAGTTACAAATGCCCTTACACCTCCACCCTCTCAACTAAGACCCTCCCTGGCGTTGACCAACACTCAGAAATTCAGTCCTCCTCAGCTCTTAGGGAAGCTGACCTTCCCATCACCTTGCCGGGAGTTACGGCAGTCCCCACTTTGCTAGCTCACCGGAGCAAGTTAAAAGAAGAGAAATCTTGACAGTCGGGAGTGTAAAAGAGAAACACTCTCAGTGGAAAAATCGCTCCTATAAGTAGGATTTTACTGGGTTTAATTTTGAGTGGCATCATTTCCCTTTCTGCTCAGGAATAAAGTATCACTTCAGTGCTTGACAGCCAGGACATTCCCTCTCTCAGCGTATTAAAAAGCCCCATGAGCCCGACAGACAGAAAACCCAGCCCAGGAGCCCCGGAGAGGAGCAGCGCACTGCCCGTAGCCCTGGGTGTGCCACTGGAGCTTGAACGCGGGGCGGCGGAGGCCAGAGCGCGCAGGCTCCCACACTGCACTCGCCCAGCAAGACCCGGCGACTCTCCGGGACCCGCACTGCTGCGGCCCCTGAGCCTCCCTGTTTGACCCAAAGTCCGACTCCCCCGGGCTGGGCGCGGTGCTCTCGGACCGACCGCGGGACACTGACGTTAGACGCGCCCCTTCCACAAGAAAGGCCGTGGACCCGGCACAGACCCGAAGGAAGACGGGGGCCTAGCTCTGTTCCCTGGAGCGCAGGCGGGTCGGTGGAGGGAAAGTCGCAGAGAAGCCAGAACCCCGCGACTCTCCCAACTCTAGGTCGCTTACCGATCTTGGCCACGCTGGCCACGAGGATCCAAAGCGCGATGATGTACGGGTCCTGGACGTGGTGCCATTTGAAGGTGACCACCTGGAAGCCCTGGCTTTCGTCCTGTTCGACAGCAGGCTCCTCCTCGACGCCCCGCGCAGGTGGCAGCTCGCCCAGCGCCAGCAGCAGCGCCAGTAGAAGCCTCCAGCCCGGGCCAAGGGCCCCGCGCCGCGACATCGTAGCCACCGCTCAGAGCCCTGTCCGGACGCTCATGTCGTGTGAATCTGGCTGCGCTCAGCTGGACGAGCTGTGCCTCGGCAGCTGGACACACCAGCCGGCGGGACTCGCGAGGGGCGGCGTGGAGCCTGGAGCGCTCAGGGTACGGGCTGTTGCCCTAGTCCCCGCCCGCCGGGGTGGCCTTTAATCCCGAGGCCCCCTCCCGCTCCGGGGCGGGGCGTTCCCGCCCCCGCCTCGCACTTGCAAACGCAGACACAGCCGCGCGCTCTCGGCACGCCTACCTCGGGCCAAACCAGCTTTTAGACCTCACCTTCCCACCCCCACGTACCGGTCCCCTTTGTCCCCCTCCCTCATTAGCCTGTACACTCTGCGCTCCGAGTGCTACCCACTCCCGCCCTCTCCTGGAGCCCAAGGCTGCAAGGTGCAGGTGGGGAGGTCCGTGCGGTGGCAAGGCGATGGAGGACCACCTCCCTTGGGGACGGAGAGCAGAGCTGGGGTCTGGGGGTCCCAATGGGCGCGGCTGCCAGGTGGCGGGTGCTCCGGGCCTCTGGCACTTCTTGGCGTTCGTTCAGCTCCCGAGTTGCCTGAGGCCTCCATGGGCACACTGGCCGCAAGCAACTCCTCCACAAACGCAGGTCCCGAGGCTGTTAGACCCCACTAGGGGCCGGAGGGCCAGGCCGCCAGCCTCGTGCTGTCTTCCATATGAACCTGTATTTCATAGCAGGATCCAACAACTTGTCTGAAAACCAGGGCCTCCTCCTCCCCAACCTCCGGCAGTGCAGAATCCAAGTTGCTGCCCTTCCCCACGTATGCCCCCTGTTCCTGTGTGAGGGATAGCTTCTGTGAGGGGGCCCACCGCCCCCACCTCAGAGCCCAGTGGCCCTGCTCAGACCTCCAGCATCGGACAAGAAATGCCGTTTTTTACCTTAGGGTGGGCTTCAGATTGACTTGGGATGGGCGGCGCTGCTGCCCCTGGGGTCTGCAGTGTCTGCAGATGGCTCACCTGGGCATCTCAGATTCCCAGATGCCAACGCACCTTACATTTCCTCCCCAAACCCACCCAGAGACCTCAACAGGGGCAGCCCTGCCTTCTGTTTACCCCCAAACCCGGGATGCATACCTGACTTCTTTGGATCACGCTGTTTCCATCTCAGAAAACCTGCCTGTTCTAATTGCAAAAGACAAACAGAACCGACCACTGCTCAGCACCCCTGGCCACCACTGGCTGCTGCAAAGGCAGATGCCCGGTCCAGCACCCCCCTATTGGACCCTCCAACTTAGAGGAACTCTCAAGACTCAGGCCCCTCCCTGACTTCCTCTGAGCCCCGCCACCACCCCCAGATGCTCCCCTTTTATTGGGACCTCTGCTCCCGGGCTCCCTTGGCTCTGTAACGTCTTGCTCCAGTGTCACCTCTTTGTTTCACCCCTTGATCTCTCAGCTCCCTTGCCCCCTCCCCAACTTGTGCTTCTCCATACCTTCTGGGCTTTCAACATGCTGTCTGCTCCATTTGCCTGTTGACTGTCTGCCCTCTCCATGGGAACATCTGTTCCCTCAGAGAAGGGCTTCATGAAGCCCTCCAGGCTCGCAGCTGCAACCCTAGTGCGTGAGACAGTGCCTGGCACACAGGAGCATTCAGGAGATATTGGTCAGATGAATGGACAATTGATGGACAGGTGGGTAAGAGGTAAGGTGGACACATCTAATATCTGAGTATATGTTGGTGTCTTAGGAGGAGGCGAGGGCAGTGCCGAGCTGGGTGACTTCAGAGTTCCCTTCCTGGTTTTGAAACCAGAAAAGTCAGCGTACGTGCTGCCTGTCACTACCAGAACCAGTAAGTAGAGACAAGGATCAGATCTTTAGGGGCACTTTATTCAGATGCTGGTGATCTCAGAGGACAGCAGTTTTTAAAAACCATCTTAACAGCTCATCTCAAACCCACCTTTTATAGGGAGAAGGAAAGTGTGGGTAAGGGGTTTGGGAAAAGGTTGATCAGATTGGAGTTACAATTTTTCTAGTATTCTTTATTTGCTGATCGAAAATTCTTCATCTGAGTCATAATGGCTTGGAGACCATCCGCAGGCTTGCAGAGCCTCTGGGGCCCAGAGAGTGGATTGCTTGTGGGCCTCCTGGATTTAGTAGTTCGTGAATTCCAGTTCCTGGAATAACAGCTTTCCACTCGCATTAATCACTTAAGCCTATCAACTGTAACTGAAGATAAAATCTTTAACTCTGGAGTTCTCCTATCAGTTTCTTATCTTGAAAGGTGGCTATCAGTCAAGTAATGGAAGGTTCAAATCATGCTCGGTTGGCTGGGTGGCTGGATGCTAAATGGTGAGAGAAACCGGGCGACCATTGGGAGGATGCTGCAGAGGGTGTCAGTATTTACTGGGGGTTCTGGGAGCACTTGTCAGCTGTAAGGGTCTCTGTGGTAGCCCAGGAATGATGGGGGAGAAAGGCCAGGCTCAAGGTTTTTTGTGAACATGGGGTGGGGGCTGGACTGAGCTGAGCACAGCGTCTAGTCCACAGCACCCCTCAATGGAAGTATGTGACTAGCAACTGCTAGGGCGGCCCTGCCTGGTGGGCCATGGCGGATGGTGTGTGGTGGTGATATGGATAGCTGGACTGGACCACTGAGAGGAGGCAGAGGGTGGGGAACAAGAAGGACCACTGGAGGAGACTGTGGAACCACCTGAGCCAGTGGCAGGCCAGTGACTAAACTCCTGCCTTCCAAATGCTCCACCTCTGGTAGAATGTCCTGCTCCTGGCAGCAGGTCCACTGGCCCTGGCGTAGATGGCAGCAGGCAGAAGTATTGTGCTGAGCATTCGCAAAGCTAAGAAGACAATTGGAAAGTGGGGAAAGCCCTCCTACCCACTTCCAGTAACTGATCAGGAATGGGATCAGAGGAAGACAGGCATATGCACCATAGAGATTAGAATGGTGGCAGGGAAGGTGCTAGATGGAAGAAGCCTGTCAGTCTAGCCTGGGGCAAAGAATGGATTGGTCAGGGGGTGGACCCTCCTGGAGTACACAGAGGTTTGGGAAGTTAATTGGAATTTTTTTCGTCCCACACCCAAAACTAATATAAACCCAAGGGGAGGCAGGGATGCAAAATCTTACCAATCTGGCTAACGCACTGGCTGGTGCATTCACAGGACCTTCTGGCCCTGGAAGTGCATGGTCAGTGCTGGTGCCAACCCCACACATGGGTTCCAGGATAAGGTCTGGGGCCTGACAGTGTCTGAGAGAAAAACCGAGCTGCCCGATTGACCACTCAGTGGCTGCCTGCAGTTCCAGGAGGACAGTAGTTTAAATAAGAGAAGGAACTCTGGACACTGCCTTTGGTTTTGGTCTAGGTCTGGCTGAGGATGGCTGGGCTTTTCTCCAGGTTTCCCCAAAAAGATGGGCTTTGAGGAAAGAGCCTGCCATTCTCCCAGATTGTGCAACATTTGAATAAAAACCTCTTTTCTTTCTCACCAGCCTCTGCCTCTAGAATTTGCTTATTAATGGCAGCAGGCAGCCGAACCCCCTCTTTGGCTGGGTAACCATTGCTCCCAGCTCAGGCTTGTCCATGCTGTACCTGCTTCTGTCCCCAGCTCCATTCCCAGCCTCTTGTCCTAAAGGCAGAGCCAGCTAGACATGATTACCTGCAGCCCAGACACCCTCCTTGTTCCTTTCTCAGGGCTCTGGGTGAAGACTCTACGGGAGCGTCCTCTTTGATGACAGCGCCCTTGCATTCCACAGGAAAGCCAAATGACCCCCAGAACAGCATGTTCTCTGATGCCTGGTGACCCTCCGGTCACACTACCCTTGGAGCTTTTCACGAGAGCCTGTCCTAGGAGCTCACAACATTTCTCTTGGGAGCAGCTTCTTCTGAGACCCAGGAGGTAGTTCAAAGGGCAGAGGACTGGTGGATTCAGAGTGAGGCTGATGCCAGTCATCAGCCATCACACAGTGTGGGTGGCCACACGTAACCCAAGGACAAGGGACAGTTGAAAGGAAGCAAGCCCCTGCGATGCTATGGTGGGAGCATGGGGTGACTACACAGGGCAGGAAAACTCCGATGAAAAGTAGGTTGTTTGCAAGATCTGTGGGCACATAAAGGATGAATGCCTTTGTGCTCTCTGTTGCTGGAAGGCTCCAGGGCAGGAGGCACTGCTCAGCCTCTTGCCTGGGAATGGTGGTACAGTGGTGAAGATACCAGCCTCCCTTATAAGCAGAAGTCGGTTTACATGGGTGGGGAATATGTGCACTGCCCCATTCTCCCTACACCACCCACCCACTGACCCATTTCTCCATAGTGCCCTCAATGAGGACTGGGGCCAAGGGATGGGTGGGCATCGCCAAGGCCTCTCTCCCTCTAACTGGGCTGTGTTTTTAAGCAGGTCTGCAGCATTCCTCCCCTCCAGGGCTACCGTTATGAACAGCACCCCTGGAGTTGTGCAATGTACATTTCAAATGTCCCAGTGGCCAAATGTAGCCAGAGGCCTGGGTGTGTGTGTGGTGGGAGGTGTCCTCAGGGCCCGGCAGGTGTGTGATGATCTGATAACCACCTTACTCACCACCGCTGTCAGCACTGCAGAGTTCTCCCGCCCCGCCTTCCCCAGAGATGAGGATGACTGGTGTGTTTGCTTGCACACCCTTTGTCTTAGCTCAGGATCAAGGTTTTGACCAGGTTCTGGTTCTGGTAAGAGCCTCTTCTTGCCTTGGTGACAGCCACTTGTCCTCCTGTGGCCTTTCCTCGGGGTGCAGGAATGAGGGGAAAGAGAGGGAGAGAAATCTCTCTCTTCTCCTTCTCCTTCTCCTTCTCCTTCTCCTTCTCCTTCTCCTTCTCCTTCTCCTTCTCCTTCTCCTTCTCCTTCTCCTTCTTCTTCTTCTTCTTCTTCTTCTTCTTCTTCTTCTTCGCACCAACCCTATGGGATTAAAGACCCACCCTTATGAATTCATTTAACCGTAATTACCTCCCAAAGTCCTCACTGCCAGATGAAGCCACAGTGCATTCTCAAGAGTCAATATATGAATTGGGGGGCACACAGAAATTCAGTCCATAGCACATGAGAAGATGCCATGATCACGTGACCGACTCAAAAAAGTCAAAGCAAATAACCAGTCCAAAAGAAACTGCAATCTCCCATAGGTATCTGAACTTCAACATTAAGAAAATAAAAG